TTTTTTCCAGAACCAACAGTAGCACATCCACAGAGTATTAATTTTCAATTTGTTTCAAAAATACAATGCATACAAGTAAAATATTCTAAGTTGTTCTATTAACAAAAATACGCTAATTTTCCCCAAATCTAACACATCATCATAAGGACTTTTTTCAACCCTCATTTTCAATTTTTTTTTTTTGACCCCCATTGTAGTGTACTTTTCCCAGATCGACCCTCTGTACTGTCTATGTAACAAAAGTTTTAGATCTCCCAAGCTTATTTTCAGTAAAACTGAACGCATTAAGGGGTGGGATGATTCAGTTTCGATCAGAAACAACGTTCGACGCCAACCTCAACTAAAAGAACAGGAATAAAAAACAAATTTTGGAAACCCATGTCCGATTGTAATGCATGCATGGTGGATGTGGTCAAAACAATCAGCATATGTGAAAATATCCCAGAAAATGAAAACATTAACTATTGAAGTTTATTTGAGGCGGAAAAAAATACAGGTTAAAGTAATTTAAAAAAAAAAAAACAAAACACTGCACAGCAAAAAGTCCTAGTGGAAACAGGGTGTTAAAACGTTTCGGAAGTAGGACCGGGAAAACATAACCGAAGACTACAGCAAAATGATAAACGTGTCAAAAACGCAATCATATGCTCATTAATGATTTATGCACATTAGCTCGAAATGCTTGAATCAATTACCAATTCATATTTCCTTCCTTCATCCGTACATCTGGCAACTTTTTCAGTGGCTATGATCAACGCTGCACTGCGCGTTGGTTAGAATTAAGAGCAGTTCTGCTCTGAGGTGAAATTTCCTGCAGGTGATTATGAGTAATACTCAACTTTACCGCAAACTCAGAAACGAGTGCATTTTATAGCGAACCACCGCCCTCATTCTCTCCCAACATCCAGTTTAAACTCAAATTCGGATTTTCAAGCCCAAAAAGAGGATATTTGCAGTAGCACTACTAAAAATTATTTTATAAACAGCATACTCAAAAATTCTGTAGGAATCCCCGGCATTCTTTAACAAGTGTGATCCAACTTAGAACACTTTTCGCTTGCAATTGAAAATGACAGAAACTGGACATACCATCCGGAAGTGATGAGATGTTTGGAATCAGGCGAGAATTCGCAGTACGAAACTGGACGAACATCAGCCACCTGCGAGCCACAAACATCCAACGAAGCCACCCACCGATGCATTTCCTGAGCTCGTATAGCAATATCATTCGAACCACGAGCAGCTTCTTCACGAGCCTGTCACGAATGCTTCGATGTAACAAACAGAAGGCACCGAATTGCTTATAAGAACCGGAAGAATACAAGTCACTGAGTGCTAATACTGAAGGGGAATATTAAAACGTGACTCAGCTATGCCATATTTTAGGGCCTGGGTCCAAATTACGAAAATTGTGATATCGGCCAAGACTCTAACCGTGCAACAAAGTTCTAGGCATCGTGTTCAAGGTTCCTGATTTCCTCTCAGAATCAAGTTCCAAGCTAAGTGTGGAAAACCTATAAGGAGCCCTTCCTCCATAAAATCCTCCTCTCTTTCAAA